TATATATATATATATATTGTTGGCATATTTGAAATATCTAAAATAAAATCAGCTAGTTGCCAAGGCAGTTTCTCATTTTCATGTAGTTTATCTTTAAGTACTAAAAATAAAAATGAAATAAAAATGATATAGACATTTGTATAAAAACATATTAAAATTAAAAAACAAAATTAAAATGTTTTGTAATAAATAAAAATATATTTTGTACCCTTTTTTGCCTCTTAAATTTTTTTCAGAAGTTTGTATACTTTTTTTTTTTTACCAAGCAGACAACAGTGTCAGTAAAGAGTATGTTTGAGATTAAATATTAGACGTTAAGTGTGATCATCATTTCCAATCAAGCTGTAATTTTGTTAATTAATGCAAAAAGTGTGAAAATATTATTTAATTGTGTGTGTTTTGTATACATAAAAAGCTAAGCAAATTATCCTTAGAAGGACAAAGGAGTCGGTCATTTTATTACAAAAATGTTTGAATGATTTTGATTGATTGAATTTAATTTCCAACATAGAATGTGAGATGTGGTAAAAATGGGGGGGGGGGAAGCAAAATTGTGAAAGTGTTTTAGAAGAGTTTTAAAAACACTCTCACAACGAATGTTGTGATGCTAGAAATAGTTGAAGTATTTAACAAAGATGCATTAATAAGTAGATTTGAATCAGAGCTTCTTTGTGCCACAACTCTCCATTTTGAAGCTCTCCTTCTCTATCTCTTGAAATGCTCTTTGGTGCTCTGTCACCAGTCACTATAATCACTGTTTGTATCTTTCTCATCAGATTTGTGGTGGGATCCAACCGTGCCATCTTCATGCTGCGTGACGGGAGCTACGCCTGGGAGATTAAAGACTTCCTGGTCGCTCAGGACCGCTGTGAGGATAAAAATGGGGGGGGGGGGAAGCAAAATTGTGAAAGTGTTTTAGAAGAGTTTTAAAAACACTCTCACAACGAATGTTGTGATGCTAGAAATAGTTGAAGTATTTAACAAAGATGCATTAATAAGTAGATTTGAATCAGAGCTTCTTTGTGCCACAACTCTCCATTTTGAAGCTCTCCTTCTCTATCTCTTGAAATGCTCTTTGGTGCTCTGTCACCAGTCACTATAATCACTGTTTGTATCTTTCTCATCAGATTTGTGGTGGGATCCAACCGTGCCATCTTCATGCTGCGTGACGGGAGCTACGCCTGGGAGATTAAAGACTTCCTGATCGCTCAGGACCGCTGTGAGGATGTGACCGTGGAAGGACAGGTGTACCCCAGGAAAACTGCCAAGAAAGATGCCAAGGGGAACGAGCAAAACGAGACCAAGAAGAAAGACAAGAAAGCAGCCAACCGAGCAAATAAAAGCAAGCAGGAGCTTTGATACACGAGCCTCAAAGGCGCAGCATGGTCTTAATAGGACTGAAGGAGCGTTTCTCTAACATATGTTAGCAGGTACTTTGACACACAGGTTGATGAGTCAAATCAGCAATCTTTGTTTCAGTTTCTTTGATTTGTTTTACTGTAACTCACCTCATTTTTTCACAGTCAATCAAAGAATAAACCACTTTTATAATTATGTGTCGTGCATTGCATTGATGATTTGCAGTTGGCGTCAAATTTTCAAATGCAGAAAAAGTGTAGCACTTAAAGGAATAGTTCATCCAAAAATGAAAATTAGCTGAAAATTCACTCACTCTCAGGCCATCCAAGATGTGTATTTTGTGTGTATATTTTAGAGTTAGTTTGTTCATGGGAACCGATTAGGAGAAAGTTCGCAAACAGCTGATAAAACATCAGAATAATCCACACCACTCCAGTCCATCAATTAATGTTGTGTGAACATCAATTTATGTTTCTTTTTCTTTTATGCAACAAGCTAGTACATGAGTAGTCTGGTCTCAGCAGCAGTAGAGAATATCTGATTTATCTGAAGGTTTACATAACAGCTTGTTGAAGGATGCTGGAATGCATTTGGAAGATGTGGCAGAAATGAACAGCTCAAACAGCTTCTGGCAAAAGAAAATGAGTTTAGCAGTGGCAGAGTCATTGCCCCAGTTTGAAAGAGAGCAACATTAGGCGCTAATAGAGTAATCGATCATCCTTTCCCTTCTGAAGCCCCATATGCCATGATACCAGGGAAAACGTAAGTACACCTCATGGAAAGCTGTGAGCTTTTCAGCACTTAACTGAATGATAAATGTGATCTAATTGAAATAAAAAATTATCTTTTGTTTGCAATCATCCATTAAACATTCATCCATTCTTGCAGGCGCTTGTTGTTCATCTTCCTACATTGACGTATATGTCCAATCCTTACAGAACTGTGATGATAATGGCAAAGTAATGGAGAGCCCTAATGCAAAATCCATTGCATAGATTCTACACTAAATGTTTCTTATATATATATATATATATATATATATATATATATACACAACAGTGATGCTGGAATGTGTCTTTCGTTTAGCAAACACTTTAAAATAAGCTGATGTTGATTGATGGTATGTGTCTAGTGTGTTCATTTTGGGGTGGGGGACCATGAAGAGTTTCTTCAGCAGATGGTTTGGAAATATGACCATGGAGGCCATATCGGACTAGGGTGGATCCTGCATTCTGGACATACATGCATGTACACTAATGATCTGGACATGTTTGCACAGTAAAGCACCCTGAAGCGCTCTACAGTCGCTGTGGAAACGCTACTTCAGATGTGGGAAACTGTACTGGCATTCTTGAATGTCATCATGAGTTGCTGGCTGTGTTTTCTGGAACGTCAAATCTTCTTATTTGACCTAATTTAATGCAGCGCCATCAGTCGTGTCCAAAGCAATTACGAATGCGGTCAATGCGGCTGCTTTTCTCACATGGCAAATAGATGGCACTCGGTGTAGAGCAGGCCCAGACAGCAACGTCATGTCGGCCCAAATCTGCGGTCAGGACCGAGGTGTAAACACGTGCCAGGAAATCCTTAATATGGATAAAGGCATCCCGCGTTTGCTGTAGCCAAAGCAATCTCGGCTGTAGCTAAGCTGAATAAAAAGAAACGTTTTGACTGATGAAACGTGAAGACAGTAAACACACGATTGCGACAATATATGGTTCGTGTGTGTTTTTCAAGTCATCTCCAGGTAATAAAAAAGCAAAGTAAAAATAATATCACTCCAAAAATGTGAGGAAAAAAGATTTATTTCTGTACAAAAGGCTTTATATTTTTTTCTTATCTAAAGTAATACATTTTTATTACTTGGAAATCATTCACATTTACATCACATCCATATACAACTTAAAAGTTAATGTCATGTATATTTGAATCATACACTAAAGTGAAAATTGTACTTAAAAGTTTTTTTTACAGATAGGACAGAATTACATTACAACTTAAAAGTCCCTTAAAAGATGTCCCTTCTGGTTTTGTGTAATAGTGCCTGTACAATAAATAAGTATAAAATATATCTCTGTTATCAATCAGGATTTTTTTTAGAAACACACAAAACATATAAAAACACTAACAAATTACAATCTCCGAAAAAAGACCAGCTATTTCGGCAAAGGGACAATGTTGTACTTCTTGCCAAATGGAAGAAAAGCCAATTCATCACAGATTTGATCATTTTATGATAGACTGACATTTACTAATGCTCAGATTCAAATCCATTCTTGGTTCGATTTAAAGGAACGGTTCACCGAAAAATTGTCCATATTTTTTCACTCTCATTTTGTCTCAAACCTATATGGTGTAGTTTTTGCTTGCATTAAAACTTGTTTAAAGTTACTTTTAAATGTTCATGTACTACACATGCAGTTTCTCACTTAAAATATTGGATTACATCAGAAGATGTGAAATATGGATGCATGGACTACATTTATAATGCTTTTGGAAGGTATGCTTGGAAATGTTTCAAAGATTCTTGTTTGTTGTTGCATCAAACAACATGATGCATAAATGAGTGACATTTTAATTTTTGGGTGACCTGTTCCTTTAAGGCCGGATTTTTTTTTTGCTGGTTCTCTCGTTCAACACTAACAAAACCAACTCTTGTGCGTGACAATTAAAATGAGGAAACCTCACAACATTTACAATCCGAAACCTCTTTTTCTACATATTTAGAAAAAAACATGTAACGAAGGCAAACATCACCGAGAGGGACAAAAACAAGGAATGTTGCGTTCATTTTTAGTTTTTGTTTTTCTTGTTTATCTCCCGTCGACACTCAAGTATAATCAACTGACGACACAATCCAAAAATCACAATGTCTACGTTGTCACATACAACGGAATCTGCTGGGAGGGGTTGCTAGGTAACATAAACACATGCTGGGCTGTGATTGGTGCTTTAGGTTCAGTAGTCCTGTAGCTGGGCTCGTCCGGCAGTGCTGCTACTGCGAGTCTGAGAAGACCTGCGGTGTGTCGCTCGTCTTCATAGCTTCATCATCTTAATCACAGGGATGGGCAGCACTTGGTGGAGTTTGGCCCGTTCTTCATCAACACTCATCTTCACCCAGGTTGGCCGGAAGGAGCCTTTGAAGCCCACAAAGGCAAGTTTATCTGGAAAAAAATGGCCACAAAATGAGTTTTAAAGACCTCATTCATGACAAAAATGTTGGTTAAGGCCAGTTTAAGATTCTACTATGTGCATCAACGTTTGCCAAACTGCAAACTGTAAAAAATGTCAATTACTTAATTATACAGTCTTTGATGTTGTGGTGCTTATTTAACAGCTTTCTGGATTAGTTGATTCTGATTGGCCAATCATGACATTCTTTGGTTGTATTATAAGGCTAAACTGTATGACTGTCATCCCTGGCAACAGATTTCCTACATACACTACTGTTCAGACGTTTAATGTTTTTGAAAGAAGTCTCTTCTGCTCACCAAAGCTGCATTTATTTGATCAAAAATACAGTAAAAACTGTAATATTGTTTAATATTATTACAATTTAAAATAATTGTTTTCTATTTGAAAATATTTTGTATTTTCCTGTGATGGAAAGCTGAATTTTCAGCAGCTATTACTCCAGTCTTCCGAGTCTGTGGAAGTTTGTTTCTGCCACAGGATAAAAATAAATAAATAAATAAAAAAGGTAATTGCAACTTTTTTACTCACAATTGACTTTTTTTCTCACAATTCTGAGTTTATATCTTACAATTCAAATTTTTTTTCTCAAAATTGTGAGATACAGTATAAAGTCAGATATGAACTCGCAATTGCAAGGAAAAAAAAGTCATAATTGTGAGACAAGAAGTCGCAATTACCTTCTTTATTCTGTGGTGGAAACAAAAATAATTGTGAGATGTAAACTATGAATTCTGAGAAAGAAAAAAAAATCAGAACTGCAAGAAATAAATGCTAAATTGTGAGATGTAAATGTAGAACTCCGAATATCAGAAAGTCTGTGTTTATATCTTGCAATACTGAGTTTATATCTCGCAATTCTCAGAATTCCGTGCATCCTTGCTGAAAAAAATGATTAATTTCTTTAAAAAATCGTATGAAACGGTAGTTTAGCTATGCTAGTTTCATGTCTGCCCTATCATTCAAAATTTTTATTCATATAATACAATAATCTCAAATCAATCAATATTCATTCATTCATTCATTCATTTCAGCCATGAGATAACAGGAAAATATGAAGTCAGATGATCAGTATCATAAAATCTTGTGTTGGAGTATTTTTAATTTTCATTTCTGTACAGACTCGTCATGCGGCGGTGGTCTGTGCAACATTTGGTGGTTCACGAAACGAACCTTTGGGAAGCCCTTGGAATGTAAATTTAAGGGGGTTTTCCTGCTGGAATGACAATTGAACATGATAAATATAATATGTGAAGGGAGGGTCGAGAGGAAGAACCCTGCTGCTCTGGTATGTGTGTGTGTGTGTGTGTGTGTCCAACCCAGAAAACAGCTTCTCTTTATAGAACTCGACTCTTTTTCTTTCATTGTCTGGAGGCTTCACTGTCTTTTTTGTGGTAATTTATCATAAAGCATCCCAAACACCACTGGGATGAAACTCTATAGCTAAAAATAAGTCTGAATCATTATCTGAGACACCAACAGATACACTGCAGTTCAAAAGCTTGGGTTCAGTAAGAATTTTTTAATGTTTTTGAAAGAAGTCTCTTAAGCAGTAAAAACTGAGAAAATGTGAAATATTATTACAATTTCAAAGAGCTACTGTGTATTTGAATATATGTTAAAACTTAATCTATTCCTTGGATGCAAAGCTGAATTTTCAGCAGTCACTGCATTTGAAATAAAAATGGTTTGTAACATAATAAATGACTTTACTGTCACTTTTGATCCATTTAATTAAATCTTGATGAATAAAAGCACTATTTCTTTCAAATAAAAAAATTATTTCTGAGCCCAAACTTTGGTGCGGTAGATCAAAATACATTACGTACTAGATAATAAGATCGTTGCTTGGTTACAAGTGTTTCCTAGTATGCACATTTGTTTCAAACCTATAAATAATGTAAATTCCCTCATGTACTGATAATGTGAGACGTCTATCACAGTGTTTCCCAACCTTTTTTTTAGTCGCGGCACCCTTTGGAA